ATTTTCCCCCCGTTATTCCCAGTTTTCCCCATTATTTTCCCGGGCTCACCCCAGCTCCCGGAAGGGCACCTCGAACTCGAGCTCCTCCTTGGTGAGCGCCTCGACCTTCTCGATGAAATTCCTGAAGGCCGATTTCAGCTTGTGCCGCATCTCCCTCTCCATCTTATAGAAAATAAATATAAAATATAAAATATAAAATAAAATGTAAAATATAAAATGTGATTTCAGCTTGTGCCGCATCTCCCGCTCCATCTATTCAATAAAATAAATAAAATAAAATTTAAAATTTAAAATATAAAATGTGATTTCAGCTTGTGCCGCATCTCCCTCTCCATCTGACACAAAAAAATATAAATTATAAATTATAAAATATAAAATATAAAATGTAAAATATAAAATGTGATTTCAGCTTGTGCCGCATCTCCCGCTCCATCTGATAGAAAATAAATATAAAATAAAATATAAAATATAAAATATAAAATATAAAATATAAAATGTGATTTCAGCTTGTGCCGCATCTCCCGCTCCATCTGAACAATAAAATAAATAAAATAAAATATAAAATAAAATTTAAAATGTAAAATATAAAATGTGATTTCAGCTTGTGCCGCATCTCCCTCTCCATCTGACACAAAAAATATAAATTATAAAATATAAATTATAAAATATAAATTATAAATTATAAAATATAAAATGTGATTTCAGCTTGTGCCGCATCTCCCTGTCCATCTGAACAATAAAATAAATAAAATATAAATTATAAATTATAAAATGTAAAATATAAAATGTGATTTCAGCTTGTGCCGCATCTCCCGCTCCATCTGATCAATAAAATATAAAATAAAATTTAAAATTTAAAATATAAAATGTAAAATATAAAATGTGATTTCAGCTTGTGCCGCATCTCCCTCTCCATCTGATCAATAAAATATAAAATAAAATATAAAATAAAATTTAAAATGTAAAATATAAAATGTGATTTCAGCTTGTGCCGCATCTCCCGCTCCATCTGACACAAAATAAATATAAAATAAAATATAAAATTTAAAATATAAAATATAAAATATAAAATATAAAATATAAAATAGAAAATAGAAAATAGAAAATATAGAAAATAGAAAATAAAAATATAAAATAGAAAATAGAAATATAAAATATAAAATATAAAATATAAAATGTAAAACATAAAATAGAAAATAGAAAATAAAAAATGGAAATATAAAATATAAAATGTAAGATAGAAAACAGAAATATGAAATATAAATACCAAAATATAAAATTAATACCGAAATATAAAATAGAAATACACAAAATAAATGTAAATAACAAAAATAAATAAAATATAAAATACAAATACCAAAATACAAAATCAATACATAAAATAAAAATATAAATACCGAAAAATAAAAATATTAATACCCAAAATATAAAAATAAATACCCAAAATATAAATGTAAATACCAAAAATAAACGTAAATACACAATATAAATGTAAATACTAAAATAGAAATGTAAATACCAAAATATAAATGTATACACCCGAAAATATAAATGTGAATACCAAAAAGAAATGTAAATACACAAAAATTAAAATATAAATACCCAAAAATACAAATATAAATACCCGGGGGGCAACGGGAAATGGGAATGGGGAAAAAAATCCCATGGGAAAGGCAAAAAAAAAAATCCAAGAATGGCAAAAAAAAACGGGAGAGAAAAAAAAAAATTCCCCCAAACAATCCCCAAAAATCCCCCAAAAAATTCCCAAAAATCCCCAAAAAATCCCCAAAAACCCCCAAAAAAATCCCAAAAAAACCCCAAAAAACCCCCAAAAAATCCCCAAAAAATCCTAAAAAAATCCCCCCAAAAAATCCCCAAAAAATCCC